TGAGAGAAGTGAAATCTTTGGATTTTCTTCTGGAAAAATAAGGGTCTTTAGAAATGCTGATTGGCCTATGCATTAGGCTCAAAGACATACCACACACTTGACTCCTTGTGTCTGCTAGCAATTAAAAGTTAAATTGGGCACTTAACACTTCCTATATAAAACAACCAGGAAAAGGGGGAAGGTACTACTATTTTTAACTCCCAGAAGGCTTAAGGAATTCAGAGAAACTGAGAACTCTCAATATATAGTTTGTGGCTCTCAGATCAACTTCTACCATTTAGACCAATCAGCTTCTCCAGCCCGAACTTTCCAAATTTTATTTCTGTGCTCTCAACCAAGCTTGTAACTGTTACCCTCAGTATACCAAGTGAAGGCAGCCCTCACGTAATCTCCAACAGTCTTTCCAGCATTATGGATGAGGAAACGAAACTGACAAGGGCAAAGCTCACACCACCAACATAGACTGACCACACATATGCCTGGAAAGGTGTCTACACTGTTTAGCCCCTGCCCCGGTGATAAGAGGAAGCCGTTTTGGAGCACCAGGGCATAAATGGCTGTTAAGGTATGGGGTGGAGTTGGCAGGGATGTTAGCCATGCATATGGCAAAAGTGCTTGATACCTGTGAAATAATATTCCTACTCTTTCAGCCCCTCCCTCCACCTAATAGTCATGTTGCTTTCCAAGTGGGATGGTCTTGAAAATGCTTAAATCAAGCCTTTTGTTTCATTCTTTGTTCTACTGTCTGATAAAAGTTCTTGCATTGATGCCCAAACTGGCCATGGACTCCCAATACTCCCATGTCAGCCTCCCAAGTACTGGATTATAGCTCTGAGCCCACACTGAAGCACCTTCCACATACCCCACCAAAGAACCAAGTCCCTGGTCAGCACTGTCTCCTATCTTGAGCTTTCTCTGTGTTTTCCTTGGTTTGAACAAGTTCATCTTTGTTTCCACGACCTTTCTTCTTATGGAAGGACAAGGGAAAGATTTCATTGCTTTCAGCTCAGTGAGGGCACAGAGGAACACGGGTGGCAAGATTGGGTGAGAAATGCAAACACCTTTTTTTTTAAAGTGATACATAATTGAGCCTCCTTCATTCTTCCCACACAGGGAGAAGGAGTTCATCATTAGTGACACCCCACCTCCCTGGAATTGGGAACAATGGCCACCAGTACATAAAATCTTCTATAGATTATGCACAAGTTACGTGTGAGGAGAGGAAAAGGCTTTGTGTGTGTGTGTGTGTGTGTGTGTGTGTGTGTGTGTGTGCGCGCGCTCGAGTGCGTGTTCTCAAATGCACACAGGGAACAAATGTCACTATGTCTCTAGGCTGGCTTCAAACTCACTATATAGTGCTGTATGACCTTGAACTTCTAATCCTCCTGCCTCTACCTTCCGAATTCTGGGATTGCAGGCATGCACCATCACATCCTGAGAATCCAGGGCTCTGAGCTTCCAGTGCGTTACTTGCCTGATGGTTTAGGGGGTAATTTGCACATTGGCAGAATAAGATGTTCTTCTCGAGCTCTTTATGTTAAATTGCTTGTTATTCTAAAAGCATTCTACAACACTGATTGTATTTGTTCCAGACTGTGTGTCCTACTAATGATACTATTATTTGCCCAATAAAGAGCAAATATCAAGATGTACCTAATCTTAATTACCAGCTTCTGGCCCTTGCCATGAGGCTATAGAAAGAAGGAGAGTGATGTGCAAAAGAAAGAAAACATGTTAAGGGCAGTGGGCTCTGCCTGGAATGCTTCCATCTATTTTCTTTTACTTTTCTGCTCAGGCATGACCCTTTTCCTCTCGATGTTTCCAAAATACCACTCCCCCACCCTGCCTCTATCACTTGACCCTGATTCACTGCTCTTCATCCTGTTATATGGTCTCTCCCACTAGAGTATGTCAGAGCCAGATTGTTTTGTTTTTCGATGTCCACAAGTGTGCTTGCAAAATGTCAGGCATTTAAAATACTTGCAGGGTGGATGAGGTGTGCAATAAAGGAGGGGTGGTTTCTGAAGCAGCCTGCCAGCCCTTCCCACAGCCCCCAAGCAGAGAAACAGCTTCTGGAAAAAACAACCCACACCTCTCCCTCCTTGTGAGACTTGCATCCCAGGGAAAGCCTGACCTGAGAACAGACAGAGCCAATACAGTGTAAAATTCTCTCTTCCAGGCTTTCTCAGGCTCTGTGGACCTCTATGCAAACTTGAGCAGCATGGAAAGTCTGTAAGCATTAAATGGTGACGCATACTTTATGTGTTGACCGAGAGGACATATCATAGGTGTCTGGTGCAAGATGGCACTGCCATCCTACATCAGTGAGCTAACTTCAGGACAGCATCTGATTGGTCAGCATCAACTCCCTTGGTCAGGAAGCATACTCATTCACAGCAGGCCTCCAAAGATGGGTTACTCCAACATTTGGTTCAAAGCCCATTTTCAGTGTGTGCTTCTCTGGCAGGGAATGACCACTGGGACAAGAAAAGATCCCAACTCCCTAAAGGAATCTCTTTTCATGCTGTCCTGAACATTTTTATGACAACAAAAAATGTGCCTTTAAAAGGGAAGTTTGGACCTGTTTCCACTGATGGGGGGGTAGCTTTAGCTTTCAGTGATCAAATATTAACATCACAGAAAAGGTGCCTATAGATCAGGGAGAATAATAGGGGAGGGAGGAAAAGGAAAAGGCAGAAGAGACCACCTTTATCCAGTATTAGCACACCAGCAGTACTTGGAGTTAAGACGCGGGTAAAATTCAGTCCTTCCAAGAAACCAGGGCCTCCAGGTTGTTAGCTACCTGGAGGCTGGGACTGAGGCAGGAGCTGATACAGACAGAGGCCATGAAGGGGTGATGCTTACTGGCTTGCTCCACCAGCCCAGGGTTGGCACCACCCATAATGGACTGGGCCCTCTCCCTTCAATCACTAATTAAGACAATGCTCTACAGAAATCTCATGGAGGCATTTTCTCAATTGAAGTTCCCTCCTTTCAGATAATTCTAGCTTATGTCAAGTAGACATACAACTAGCCAGCACACTGTGGGTGCAGAGCTAGAATAGAAAGTGTAGCTTCCACTCCCGCAGTTGGAGACTGCAAAATCCAGAGGTAGCTGATGTGGAAGTGTAAGCTAAATAAACCCTTTCTTTCCCAAGCTGCTTTCTGCGTGGTGTTTCACCATAGCAACAGAGACCCTACCTAACACACATAGTGAGCTTCCACTTTCTGAAGCATCTGTGTAGCAGGTGCTCAGAGTTCTGTTGATGAGTGGCCTCCTGCCTCCAGCTGCAATTAAGTCAGGCAACATCCCAGCTGGAGCTTTGCCACTTGGAGTGCCTCCAGGACCATATACCATGCAGCAGGGTTCTCAGTCTCCCTATTGCTGTGACCCTTTAATGTGATTCTTCATGTTGTGGTGATCGCTAACCATAAAATTGTATCATGGCTACCTCATAGCTGTAATTTTGATACTGCCAAGAATTGTAAGTATCTGAGAGGTGATTTCCAAAAGGGCCAGCCACCAGCAGGTTGAGAGTCACTGCGCTGGGGTCTTCTGGGATCTACTTGTGAACAATTCTGAGGTCTGCAGCATGGGAATCTGCATTTGGAAATGACTCTAAAGTGATAGGCCTGCATGTTAACCGTGGGGTCTGCAAGAACAAAAGGTGATTTCACTACTAAGTGGCAGGGCTTGTACCTGCCTTCTTGGTCCTCCGCAAGCTTCAGTTCCTTTGATTGTTGGTTCCCACGGTCAGAGCTTCCTGAATGTTTGGTTCCCACTTCTGTACTTTAACAGATTCAGTTCAGTCGAAGGTACTTTTAACTCTATCGCTTAGCAAGCCAGAGCTGCTGGGGATTTGAGCTTCCTTACTGCACACTGCTGCCTACCTGGGACGTGAAGTACCTGGGCAAGAGGAGGAGTGGACTTCTACCCTCATCCCGAAACTGGCGCTTCTAGTTTTTATCAACAATAGACTTGGCTTGCTCTGAAAACAACCTGAGCCTGAAAACAAAGCACTCTGGGATTTAAGTGGGGCCCCTTGGCTCCTTTTAGTAATCTTAGGAGAAGAAGGACAAAGATGCCACTGCTTGATTGCAGGCAAGGCGCCTAAGCCTCCAGAAAACTGCTAGTACCAAACGCTGAAACTCCCATCAGTGACACTGGAGACAAGCTTCTGTAGGGATACTGAAACTGACATTTAAGAAGTTTTTTTTTTATTTATAAATAAGAGACGTACATATGGACTTGAGCCAAACTCAAATTAAGAGTTCATTTTTGTATAAAATCTATCTCTGTTCAGGATGAGGTGTCTAGAGAAAGAACAGAACAGTGTAGTGTCAACTTTTTTTCATTCTTCTGGCTTCTGGAAGACAATCTCTTGAGTAAGCTCAACCTCCTACATAGGAATAAGTGACTAGACAAGATAAATACTATGTATGCACGAAGAAATATAAATATGAGTTGAACAAGTTACTTCACTTCATACAAGCCTTTGAAACTGCTGGCTTTACAGAACACCGTTCGAACACAGCCAGCCAGACTTACATTTTTGGCTATTTGAGTTCTCTGGAAACTGAAGCAGGGAGGAAAAACAAACAAACAAAAACCAAAACAAACAAACAAAAAACCCAAAAACCCAAATCACCTCAATAGTGACATTTATGAAGACTCATGGGTAACTTAGAATACTTTCAAGGTGTTGCACCTTTTTAAAGCCCGTTGGCTGGCTGTGATTTTGTTGTTGCTACTGTCATTAACAGTATGCAAAACGTCACCCACTCTTGTCACTGCATAAGAAAACCTGATCCCTCTCAAGAAAAGTGAAACTCCTTAAAAGTAGATGAACCCAGCCTAGTCTCTGGGAAGGAGTTTGGCCACTCGGAAAGGAAGGTTTGTCCTCCAAACAGCAAGGTGTCCAGGGTTCTGGTTGCAAGGCACAGTTCAAGTCACCTTCAGACCCCAGGCGGAGTTCAGGTAGAGGGTGGCTAATCTGTGTCTACAAGTCTGAGTCACAGGGCAGCGAATTGTTGCAGGGCCTAGTGCTGCGAGAGGAGGAACCTCCTTGGGAAGTGGCCGTCTTCTCTTCTCCATCAAGCACATCCACTGGGCTTGTGTAGGACTTGGGTGGCGGCCGTGGCATCGGGAATCCGACCTTGAGCTTGCTGGTGTCCCGGGGCTCGGTGGGAGGAGGGCGATGCTGGCCTTCGCTGTAGTACTTGATGGCCGGTGTGAGCGCGGGCTCCGGCCAATCCACGTAGACAGTGCTGATGCTGCTGCGGCGCGGGCCTGCGGAGGGCGCCTTGCGACAGCGGCGACAGCGCTCTTCGCACCAGGGCGCAAAGCTGAGCGCCAGGGAGAAGCCGCCCAGCAGCAGCAAGCAACTGGCTAGGTAGCCCAGCACCAGGCTATAGCTGACTTCCACAGTAACCGGGCTGTCCGGGGCGGGTAGGACGCCGCGGTCCCCCAAAAAGTGGTTGTACCAGGAGACTGGGACGAGGCTAAAGAGGCCCGCAACGAAAAGCACGATGCCCGAGAGGCCAGCTAGCCCGAAGTGGGGCTCATCTTGCCAGCAGCGCACGCCGAGCGTCGCCAGCAGCAGCCCCAGAGCGGTGACAGCCAGCGACGTGATCATGAGTCCCCGGGCCGCCTGCACAGGCTCGGCTTGGAAGTAGTTCCACTCGTCGGGCTGGCCGCACTGGCGTTCGCGGCTGCTCTGTTCGCGACATATGTCCCACAGACCCTGGTACAGCACCACGTCCTGTGGCTGGTTCAGAAAGCCCTTCCCCAGCCGCCAGCCGGGGGTCAACGTACTGATGAGATTGAGCAGCAGCCCGCAGGGCGTGAACACCATGCCCAGAATCATAACCACCGGCGTCCGCATCCTTCGCTTCGCGGGTCCCCAGCACCCGTGCCCGCTCCGCAGCGCACCCTGGACCCGGGGTCCCCACGTCTGCGAGGCTGCCGAGCTGGATAGCGGCGATGCTCACTGCGCTCTCTCGACGTTCTTTGTCTCCCGTGCGCGACTGTCCCCACTGAGCCTCTTGCACCAGGTCCCCTCCTTTCTCTCGTCCCGACTGCTCCGCCCTCTCGCCCAACCGCTGTCCCTAATCGAAACTGGCTTCGAGTCGGGTCAGACCGAAACCGCGCACCCAGGTTCGGCCCCCGCGGCCAAACCCTACCCTATGGGAGGGGCAAGAGCGGCAGGGACACCTGGCAAGAGGTGACCTCGGACTCTGAAGACCCGGACACCCCACCCCGCCTGCCCAAACGACTTAAGGATCGAGCAAAGGTCGCCCCGCCTTGGCTCCGAGGCACCGCCCATGCTCTTGTGGGCGGGACGAAGGGGGCAGGCAGCTGGTGTCGTCTCACCTGTTGCCTGGCTTTGCACCTTCTTCGCTTCCCAGTCCATCTATGTTCAGAAAGCTTTACCCCTCTTCCTTCCACATAAACACACACACCCCACACCCCTAGCCGCCTACTCTGCCTGTGGGTCCTGCCGACTTAAGTCTTCCTCCACTCCCAGATAGTGACCATTGTCCCTTGAAAGTTTTGCACTGCCACTCGCCGCCACTCTTGGCAGGGTGGTCCTCCCAGTGCGCACAGGACAGGAGTACACCACAGTTTCCAGGCTCGGGGTGTACCCAAACAGTTGCACTATGGAAACTTTGCTAGATTTGTTTAATAAAGACTTCAAGATCCGCATGAAGTTCAACTCATAACAAAGGGAGAGTGTTTCTGTACCGAGGAGCTATAAAAGGGTTTTAGTTTCAGTCTTGAAAAAAAAAAAATTCAAGTGGGTAAGAGGGTGTTTCCATGATTGTTCTGTTCAGGACTTGGCAGGCCTATAATGTATTGCAGAAAACCCATGGTTTTATTTACTCTGAAATGAAATGAAGGTTTCAGATAAATACAATGGGGTGGAATATAATTGATTATTGCCCAAAGAATGCCACTTAGCATTTTCTTCACAAAAAAATAAAACCCCACAAACTTGTGATCAAATAAATATAATTAGAAGAAACATTTTATTCTCCTTGATTGATAAAAATGAAAGCATTGGCAAAGATAGGAGCTAGCTAGTGATTCCTGATGTCACAGTGCACAGCCTTTAATAAATAAACCAATTTGACAGAATACAATGTTTACAATCCACATGTTTAGGTTCCTTTTTTAAAGGTTTGTATAATGAGCATATAATTGCATGTAATAATGGGTTTAATTATGACCTCTCATACGTGTACATAATGTGTTTTGCTCATTGAATACTACCTAGGTTGGCACTGCTTTTCAAATTCATCTTAGATTTCCTGTTTGCTATGTATGGGTTATTTGCATTCTCCTTTGATTTTTACATGAAATTGTTTCCCTCTTTAATACTGTCAAGCATTTGGCACATATTTACTTTACATTTGGGCAAGAGTCATGCTTTTATTTTTAAATTATTCTTGTACAACATTTTCAGTATTCTCTATATTCCTTACAATGGAAATATATTTTTATAATCTGTTATGATTAAAACTATTTATTAAAATCAGCCAATTTAATGTTGTAGTAATTTTGAACATCCTCCAGTGGACAATCCAAGTGATGGGAAGCAATACTTTCAGCTTTTTTAAATACACATTTTTAATTAAAATTTTAAAAGATTATATTTTTCAAACAATGTGTATGTGTTTATATCTGTACACAAGAGGGTAGCTGATGACACTGGATACCCAGACCTGTAGTTTGAGGTGGTTGTGAGCCACTAGAAGTAGGTGCTAGAAACCAAATCCTATGCAAAAGCAGTGTAAGCTTTTAGTCACTTAACCATCCCCACATTTTAAAAAATTAAATTGTGGCTAAGGGTGCTGCCCTAGTTTGCTTTCTTATATGACCCAGGACCACTTGCCCAAGGATGGCACCATCCACAGTGGGCTGGGCCCTCCCACATCAGTCATTAACCATGAAATGACCCTACAAACTTTCCCACAGGCCAAACTGATAAATGCAATTTTTCAAAATGAGGCTCCCTCTTCTAGGATGACTCTAGTTTGTCAAGTTGATGGAAAGCAACCAGCATATGGACCTGTTATAAAATTTACTGGCTTACTCATTTTTAACTGTGTAGTTTTGCAACCTGAAGTACACTCCTATGGTGAAACTATCGCCACCACCCTGCTCTAGAACTTCTGGACATTTTCGAGTTGAAACTGTCTGCTAAACAGTGACAAGTGCATTCTGTCATCCCTGAAGCCCTCACTAAACACTACTCTACTTTACCTCCACAGATTTAACCAGATACCTCACATAATTGGAAGTCAGCTCTACTTGGGACTAGCTTATTTCGCTAAGCAGAATGTCCTCAAGGTTTATGTGTGTTGTAACTGTATAAACTGAACACATGACCACTTCATGGTATGGTTAAAGGGGAGGTTTTTTTTTTTTTTGTAGATATAATAAAGAGAGAATAGCCAGAGGCATCTGGAAGAGTCCAGAGCAGGCAGAGAACGTGGTAGGCTGAACACGGGCCAGTAGAAGTGACTAGCATGGGATGGGGGGAGGCAGACAGAGTGTGGGGAGTGGAAAACAAAAAGAGAGAGCAGGCAAAAGACAAGAGAGCATAGCTGAAATAGCAAGATTATAAAGAGAATGAGTAACTTCAGAGGGTCGAAACCATGGGCTGGAGATTAGGGTAGGAGAGGAGTGAGCAGAGCTAGGATGATACTATAATGGACTCTGAAATTTGCAAAAGATATTTGTGATACTGAGAAAGCCTGGAGGCCAGCATGTGCTTTGGTATGCTAATAGGCATCACAGATAGCCATTTGACCCTACTGCCAGTGATAAGGAAAATGAATCCTTTTGATAGAGGAGAACCAGCTTCACCATTTCCTGAGGAATGCTGGCTTTTGTCTAACTGCCAGAATTTGAAGAAATGTAGCTACTTTTGGATCTGATAATAACATGTATTTCTGTGAAATAATCCAGCACAGTGTGAAAACTTGTTGCTCTCATTGTTAATAAAAAGCCGATTGCCCATTAACCAGGTAGGAAGTATAGGTGGGACAACCAAACGGAGAATGCTGGGAGGAAGAAGGGCAGAGTTAGTATAGTCACCAAGAGATATACGGGGAGCAAGATACATGCTGGAAGACAGGTAAAGCCACGGGCCACATAACAATACATAAATAGAAATGAATTAATTTAAGTTGTAAGAGCTAATTAGTAATAAGCCTGAGCTATCAGTCAAGCATTTACAATTAATATTAAGACTGATTAAGAGTAATTATTTGAGAGTGGCTGAGGAACGAGAAAACTCTGCCTGCAAAATATAGTCTTCTTCTTTTTTCAAGGCTGAAGTGTTTGCTACGGTGTTTGTGTCACATGTGTTTAGCCCATCATGTCTCAATAGCCGTTGGGTGATTTCAACTTTTTAGCTATTGTGAACTGTGCTGTGAAGATGAGTGTCTTGACATCTTTTAGAGATCCAGCTTTTAATTCTTCTGAGTTATGTTCACAAGTGGATGGATATATATATATATCCCAGCATCATATGGGAAATGATAGCATCTTTTTACTTTTCCACCTCAGCTGTAGGAGCTCTGATTGCTCTGACCTTTATTTAATTTTTTAATATATTTCAGTTATTCTCTCTCTCTCTCTCTCTCTCTCTCTCTCTCTCTCTCTGTGTGTGTGTGTGTGTGTGTGTGTGTGTGTGTGTGTGTGTGTGTGTGTGTGTGTGTGTGATATAAGGGTACACATGGCGCAGTGAATAAGGATATGTGAAGGTCAGAGGACAATGTTGGGGAGTCAGTTCTCTCTTTCTACCCTTATGTGGGTTCTGGGATTGGACTCTGGTCATGGAGCTTGTGCAACAGGCAACTTTGACTGCTGGGCCATCTTGCTGGATCTCTATATTTGGTTTAAACAGATCTTTAGAAAATACTGCTTCTTTATTTTCAAGAGTACTTTTGAATTAAAGTAACTGAAAATTTTTGTGAAGTATGAATATGGGTACATTAGTGTTTTCCATCAGGTTTTTACAGGTCTTTTCAGAAAGGATGGAGAAGGAAATGAATTGTTTAAGCTGAATGTAGTGGTGCATCCATGTAATCCTAGGGTTTGGGATGCTGAGGAAGGAGAGTTGTGAATTTGAAGCCAGCCTCCACCGTATGGATACATCATACATATCTCACTATGGATACATAGTGAGTCCCTGTGAAAGTATAAATGTTAGAGCCAGCCAACCTGTTGAATAGTTCCTGAGTAGGGGAGTGGGGATTAAGAAAGAAGACAGAAGAATTAAGACAGAAGACAGAATCAGGATGGCTCTCAGTGATCACTGCAGCAGCCCTGAATTTATTTCTCATAGCCGTTTTATACCCAAAGCAAAAAGCGGGGGCAAGGGTTTCCTTACCATGTTCAAGGAACAAACAAGCATAATCACCACCTTAATTCTCAAAATATCTATCTAGTAGCCACGCCTTTGGCCAAACACCCTGTTTTTTGGCCTTGAGGAGCAAGAACAAGCTTGAACTCTCTGACCTTAAGTCAAGATGGAATGGAGTCATTGTTGGCTCCCACATATAAAGAGGAACAGTTAATGCTTTTGTTGGATATCTGTAGTTTACTTCTAGACTCACTATCGTGGTCAGTATGGCATGAAAGAGCTTGACTCATCTGTCCTGCAGTGGGACTTGTCCATCTGAGCAGATTGCTGTTAGGTCTCAGGAAATTTGAATGTCCAGAAACTGCAGGCTTGGCTTACTCAAGCTGGAACAAATACCTTGTCAATGACATCCTCTAAGACCAAGTATTAGAAATCCTAGATTCTGTAAGAAAATGGGCTGAGCAAGCCATGGGAAGCAAGCCAGTAAGCAGCACTTCCGTGGCCTCTGT